AGCCTGCCTCGGCTCCACGCAGGTTTACTTGAGGTGAGTGCTTTCTGGCTTGGGAGTGTCCTTGAGGAACGATTTCTTGGAGTGTGAATTACCTTAGGATGTGTGCCTGCATCACCAGCTCCGAGGTGGTGTCATGGCACTGCTAATACGAGTGTGGGGTGTGCTTCCAGAAGCAGCTTTTAAACTCATGAACCACTTCAAAATATATCTTCTGATCTGTCATCCAGGCTGTGGTTGGAGGTGTAACATCACCGGGGTAGCTTTCACATTGCTGTTGTGGACAGCTGTGGCTGTGCAGTACCACCAGCACCGCCTGCCATCACATGCTGTGGCAGTGTGGGTGTCCCTGTAGCAGCTAATGGGTCAGCTCTAATGGAAATGGAGGCCAAATTCCTGGGGTCAAATGCCAGAATTTGTGCCTTCACTGGCAGACACAAAGGGCTCTGTTTCTTTTATTCTTCAAGGAATAAAAGGCTGGTCGTGGCGGTGGCATTTGTGTCCTGATCTCTGTGAGGCTGCCAAGAGCCCCATGCCCCTCCTTGTTTCCCAAGTGTTTTTGTGATGCTGTGTCCCTCCTGACAGAGGGCTGCAGCTGTCTCCCACCTCTCCAGAAGTGACAAAACCAGCTCCCAGCAGGGCTGGCAGGGATCAAGGGGGTCAGGAACTCCCACTTGTTGCTCTCCCAAACTCATGCAGCTTGCAGGAGCTGCTCATGGCTCATGCATAGGAAGTCCTGCACAATGGGAGAGAGCTGACAAAGTGCAGCTGAAGCACATTTTAGGTGTAAATGTGATATAAAATAATCAAATATATTAAGTGACTCTGAGATGAGAGCAGCTGACAAGGGCTCGTTCCTCTTCCTTGTCATTTGGGATGAGGTGTGGAGCACATGGCCATCTGACTTGTCACTTCTTCCTGGCTGCCTACCCCTGCAGAGCCACCCCTGCTCTGCAGCTCATTCTGGCAGCCCTGCAGCTGTGGTGGGGAGAACTGGGTGACAGCAGGTTTCAGAAAGCTGATTTTTTTCAGCAGGCAGTGCCTCCCCAGAGCCAAGGGCGCTGGCACCGCAAACCTCACCTGATGTGTTTGGACATCTCCACCCAGGACTGCACCAAAACAGGCTCCTTTTGTTCTGTCCTCCATATTTTGCACAGCAAAAGCAGAATGGAGCCTGCGTCCCCTCTGCCAATGGCTCTGTGACCATCTCATTTGTTCTGTCTCACCCCTGGCTGCTGGGGTGGCGTGGTGTGGTGCCACGGAGTTCGGAGCGTGGGCTGGTGTGGCGACCACGACGGCCCTCCTGAGTCCCTCCTGTGCCTCTAGGCTTAGGTTTGACCGTGCTCGTTGTGTTGGGTGGCCTTTGCCCATGATTAATTGTCATGCCGTAAGCATCTCGTGCCTCTGCTCTTCACGGGATGACTTTGACGTGTGGTGGCCGTGGCTGATCACTTGGTTGACGTTTTATAATCACACCCTGTGTGTTTTTGATGAAGTTCTCTTCTGGCTGGCAGGGCCCATCGTGGGGGATGGAGGAAAACTGCAGGGAGGGAGGGAAAGGCATCTTAAAACACAGATGTGACTCATCCTGTAGAAATTCAGAGACAAGTTTGCTGATTTCTAGAAAGAGAACTCCAAAACAGCTTGCTGCTTTTTTTTCCTTATTATTCCTGAAAGATCATCTTCGGAAATAATGGAAGGGGGGGAAAATATTTTAAGGTTTTCTGTGGATGCTAAATGTAGCCAGTAGAGAACTTCATTGTATTGCACTGGTTTGTTTTGTTTGTAGCTGCAAGTCATCAAAGTGACCTTACCTTGGGTTGTGTGTTTTGTTTTGATCGATGAGTTGCCATCTGTCCACCTAATTCAGAAATCAAAACTGCATAATATCTTGATTGAAGTTTCTAGCTAAATTATTAAAATCCCACAGACCAAAAGAACCTTCCCTTTTACATTTACATTCCCTTTAGAAGCAGATTCTGGAGCTGCTGAGTGTGATTTTCTAGTGCAGTAAGCTATTGTGTGTGATGTGTGCTTGTGTATGCATTGGACTGGGATGTATTTCTGGAAACAGGGTACAGGAGTACTTACTGTCTTCCAAACTAATGGTGCTTTTCATTCCAAGTAGCATTGGAGAGCTGGAATTTTTCCTTGCTGAGGGGGAAAAAGCAGTGCAGGATGTTGTGGATTTGCTGTCTGTGAGCCCATCGTGGAGCTCCATGCAGGAAAGCAAAGCCAACATGCAGAGTTTCTCAGGGATGAGCTGGGAATGTCCACTCAGCCACATCCCCCACATGGGCTGTGCCAGCTCTGAAGAGCAGTTGGGTGGCAGCAAGGGACATCAAGGGGTTACCTGTGGAGCTGCTCAAACAGGACGATGCTCAGGCTGGATCGCTCCATGTCTCTCGGACTGTCCTCCCAGTTATTTGGCAGGGGCAGGCTGAATGCCTCTGAGGGGGAAAAGTGCAGGCCCCTCCTCTGCTCCTGCTGGTGGGTGGGTTTTAATGAGTCCTGAGGATTGTGTATTTTTTTTTTTTTTGTTACATTTGTGAAGTGGTTTTAACTTTATGGAGCCCTGGAGTACCAGGAAGCCTGGTAGTGGGACATGATGTGCAGGGAGAGGCAACAGGCAGCCAGAGGATCCATCACCAGTCTGGGATGCAGGCTGTTGTCTGAGCTGCTGATCTGCAGGGGATAGAGCAGGAGAGCAGCATTGCACCTCTGCCTTATTTAAAACAAAATGAAAGAGAACAATTCCCCAGAGATGAGACAGGAGGAACCTCTGGGTGGGACTAACCCTGCTCCTCAGAAGAGGTGGCTGCTGCTGCCTCATGTGAGTGTGTGACATTAAGTGCCCTTGGGCTGAACTGGTGCATAAGCTCCAGCTCTGACTCAACTGTGCCAGCCTCAGTTTAGATCAGAGCTGAACAAAAACGGATTCAATGAACTTCTGCTGCCTCATCTCATTCTTGTTACCCAGAGGGTGATACTGGGTATGGTGCCTTCGTGGACTGAAGGGCTGTGAGATCCCTCTCTCTGTGCCAGGGATGGCTCTGGCCTTGGGAGATGGTCTTGCACTTAATGAGCCAAAGGTTGAGGTGCTTCTTGCCATTCTCCATCCTCCCTGGTGCCCTTGTCTAATTGAAGGACCCTGATTTCAGGGGCAGTGTTGCTATGTGGGGAGAGAACAGTTATTCTCTTGTCATGCAAATGGACTCAAGAAAAAAAAACCTGCATATGACAGTGGGAAAATGAGAGAAAACTCAGTTCAGATGAGCACTTGTTTGTGAGAAGCCTTTCTCCTGCCTGAGGAGCAGGTTAAACCATCAGGTGCTGGTTGTAAAGCAAATGGGAACAGCCCTGCAAGTGCTGGATAGAAGTGACCAGCTCCAGATGGATCCCAGCACGTTGTAGGTGGTGGCCAAGACTTAGGATGCTTGGGTGGAATGAAGGTGGTCATGTACAGCCCTGTGCCTTGTGAAGAGCCCGTGGGAGGCTTTTAAAAGTGGTTATGTTTGAAAATGTGCTGTCACACACATCCACACAAAAATCCCCAAAATATTTGAATCTGCATAAGCTCTCTGCAGAGTTTTGCTTGGGGTTTTTTTTTGTTTACCAGAACGAGTTGGGTTTGGGAGCAGAGTGGCACAAGCTCTCCAGAGGATGGCTTTGGTTTGTGCTGTGGCCTTACGTGGCTCAGCAAGCAGTGGCCAAAGGGACCTTATCCACAGGGTGCCCTTTTTGGTGCTTGTGGCTCTGATCTCCCACAGTGGGCCTGTGCCAATAGCTGGTGACAGTCCTCACCCCCCATTTCTTAAACAAGCCCCAGATGTGTCACTCTACACACAGCAGAGCTCTGCTGCAGTGGGCTATGTGGGCAGGGGCTGCTCACACTCTGTAGTCCATGTGCAATTCCCCATTTTTGTCTGGCCCATGGCAATTTGTGTGGATGGACCTAAACCTTCAGGTTTGTGCAGTTTTTGCTCTTGTTTGAGGCCTGACTTGATGTGAGCCCTTTGGAAAAAACATCCCTTTCATTTTGCTGGTTTTTTTTTTTTTTTTTTTTTCCTCCTCATTAGCAGTTTCTAGTACATTAGTGGGCACTCCTGCATTAATCATCTCCAGGATCTTTCTGCCTATGGACTTTAATTGACTGTGGTGTTCTTAAGTTCCTCTCAGCAGCAGCATGGCTGCCTCAGGGCAGGGGCAAAGTGGCTGGGAGAAGCAGTGCTTTAGGACCTGCATGGAAAGGGCAGCAGAGATGTGTCAGGTCATGGGCACAGGAGTGTCACTGCTGGGCCAGGGGCTGCTGGAACGGACACTCCTGGGGAGTGTTGCTGAGGGGAAGAAAACCAGCATTAATATCTCATGTTTTACAACAAACACCCTGTAGCATTGCCCTAAACATCCAGTGTTATGGAAACATGGACCTAAATGTGTGGTAACTGATAACAGCTCCCAAGCTGGAGGGCCTGGGGCTGTGCCAGGGGACGGTGGTCATCCCTGGTGGGCAAGTGGAGAGCAGTGGGGTGTCCCTGGTGCTGGGAAGTGTCCCACAGGGGCTGTGGGTCCTCACAACCCTACACCCAGGTTGGGGTGGTGGGACCTGGAGGATATGGGAGGCAGCAAGGCTGGCAGGGACAGGCAAGGGTGTGTGAGTGCCAGGTAGATCCAGCAAGCCAGTTGAGCAGGGGCTGTGTCATGGTCATCCAGGAAGATTATTTTGGGATCCAGCAACCTGGATAATGGGAGATACAAGCCGTGGGGACCAGGGTGTGTGTATTTGTTGCAGTCCATGCTTCACATTGCACTACTTCCACCCTTGGGGTCTAGGAGTGTTTTGCTTTTCATCCCCCGCCCCGAGCAGCACCCCTCGCTCGAGGGCAGCACTGCTGGGCAGCACCGTTTGTGTGGCTGATACACGTGAATTTGGGGGGGAGGAGGGGACGTGCAGGCTGGAGGGAGCCCAGCCCCTCGCTGACTCTGTCCCTTTGCCTCCACAGACTCACGCCTCACTATGTTTACCCCCAAGCTATCATCCAGCCCAGCGTGGTGATCCCTACCCCTGTGCAGTCCATCACGTCTCCCTACATCGACTACACCGCCGCCAGCCAAGCCTATTCCCAGTACACCACAGCTGCCTACGACCAGTACCCCTACGCTGCCTCCCCCGCTGCCGGGTTTGTGGGATATGGCTACACGGGCACAGTGCAGCCCCCCATCACCGCCAGCAACCCCGCAGCACCCGCCACGGCCTTCGTGCAGTACCAGCCCCAGCAGCTGCAGCCTGACCGCATGCAGTGAGGGCCCTGCCTGGGACAATCGTACCGTGGAAGGATACGACTAGGACAACAAAAGCAACGACAACAACAACAAAAAAAACAATAAAAGAAACAAAACCGACAAAAAAAAAATCACCCCGTCCCTTTATCTCCCTTATGTAGGTGCATATCGATACCTAAGCTATTTATAGTGTTGAGGGCGAACCCAAACCCTTGCAGTCTGACTGTGCTTATGAAAATGGACTTCTGGTAAGTTTTTTTTCTTTTTTTTTTTTTTTTTCCTTCAATCTGGACAGATACTGTCTTGAAGATGTTCTAAAAGTGACTGAAATGTTTCACAGGAAAACTACAGATTCTTGCACACATCGCGGTCTGCTTCCATCACCTGTGGTCTTCTTTCCACCCTCCCCTTCCCCGTCAGCCCTTCCTTCCTCATCAAACCTGCAATCCTCTTATTTACTGGTGAGGTACAGAGGTACTTGGAGAACATGGAGAAAAAGCAATCTTATTTTTTGGTTGTACAAAAACTTTGTAATACTCAGAGATGCCTTACAGAAAAAAAAAAAGCAAAAGAAAAACTATTTTTTAATATTTATTGCGATTTTATTCGCATGAGCTGTGAATTGCAGACAGAAGAATAGTAGTAAGTATCTGCCTTGTTTAATTCTCATTTTACTAAATTATTGTATGTAGGTAAAAGTTCTTAAGTAATTGCTGAATCACTTCAACATGCAAAAGGGAATATTGGCTTGAAGGAGAGCAGAATATTCCTTTAGTCAACGCACTGTACTATTTTCTTATCGTAATTGTTACTCTTAAGATTATCTCAAATTTAGGTATATTTTTAAATGCAAAAAACCAACCAAGAATACTGAACATTTTGTCTACTTTGGTAGATCTTTTGTTACAATGCTGCAACCTATGGAGACATTTACAGTATTTATGTAAAAGAGATTTGGGGCTGTTGGCCAGCGAGTTTTAGAAGAGTGGAGCAAAAGAGGAAAAAGGTGTTATGTCACTGAACAAATGGGTAAATGTAACCTTTTTATGCCTGTAATCCAACAGCCAAATAAAGGAAGAGAACAGGCGATGTAAGTTAAGTGCATTTCTACAAAGACAGCAATAAACTATTTTAACTTTTAAAATTACTCAGTGCTCTATGATACCATGTTTGCTTGGCTGAAGTGCATTAGGGAGTACTTCCCGACTGACCTGATCTGGCTACACTGGGCCTTCACCATGAGTGTGCTGGAGTAGGCCAGGAGTGTGTGTCCTGGGGCAAGAGCCCCTGCTGGCATCCTGACAGGCACTGCCTGGGTGCCACTGTCCCTGCAGTGTGTCCCATGCGTCCTTACTTGCTCTGCCTGTCCCAAGTCACCTCAGGGTTTTTGAGCTCCCAGAGCTGTGGGTCCCCAGTGCTGGTATGGGGCACTTTCTCACTGTGCAGAGCAGAGGGTGGGAAGTGCTGCCATCCTGGTGCAGCTCCAGTGGAAGCAGGGACAGCTGGGGTCAGATCACACCCCATAATCCTCAGAACACCACCTTCCTAATTGTTCAGTCTAAGAGTTGTTTTCCAAAGCTGAATTTATCCAAAAGTGAGTGGTCTGCCAAAGCCTTGTTAAGGATGGGTTGCTGAAGGCCTCTCTGATGCTGCAGCAGTGAGACTGGCAGGGTGCTCACATCCCTGAGCCTCCTTTGCCTTAGTGAGGTGGCTGCATTGGACTTTCCCAACCAACTTGGTTTTCAGATTTTCACAATTACAAAACTTCAAGAATCAGTTTTTAGAAGTAAATAAAATTATTCTATTTGATCACACCAGTTATCTGGTTCATGTCTGTGAAGGTCAGGGCAGGACTGGTGCCAGGAGGTGTCATGTCTTTGGCACCCGTGTATGCTGCTGTTAAAGGTGATGGTGCCTAAAGCCATCCTGGGGGAAGAGGGTGCCATAGGATGAAAGCAGAGGCAGTTCAGCATTGTTTTTGATCAACCACCCTGGTGAACTGGAAGGCACACGGTGGGCATGTCTAATGTCATCAGTGGGCCTCAGAGTAAACAGCCCATCTGGATGAATGGAAACAGCTCCTTCCTCCCTTGCTTGTATTGCGTGAGAATGCAGATCCTGATGGGGCTCTGTCCATCCTGCCCAGGGTTTTGCTTACAACCATATGGGTGACATTTATTTCCTTTTTAAGTAATTACTTTCTGGATCTGCTGTGGGGCTGCCAAAGGAGTAAGAGCCGAGCGCCGCATCCAGCGCGGTGCTGGCGGGGAGCTCAGCCTGGCCCGAGACCTGCCTTTGAAGTGCTATTGGGGCTGGAGATTATTCAGCAATTCTTCTTCCTCCCTGTCATAAATCTTTCTGAAGAAGAGGGATGGGAGGATTTTGGAGCTGGATGGAGGTGCTGGGAGCCACTGGCGAGCACTTGGCCCCAGCCCAGCAGCGTTGGGGTGCCCGTCCTCAGGCAGGGGTGCCTGGCACTGCTGAACATCAGCTTTTGCCTTCACTGGGGACCCACATCTTCCCCAGTCAATAGGGACACACCAAAGCTGCTGAAAATCAATTTGCTGTTGAAAAAAAACATGTGTGCAGTGCAGTCTGAAGTGCAAAGGGTGATGATTTTCCATTTAGCTGTCTAATTTCCTGAACGGTGGCCAAACTACCAGGAAGTGAGGGCGCAGGCGGCGCTACCAGCACCCAGCCTGCCACTGCCGAATGCCATTCCTGGATCCTGGATCTCACTTTTGCTCCGGGCTCATCTCGAGAAATGGCCACATCAAAACAACAGCCCAACCTGCCGCCTTCCTGTGTGTGAGAACCCGGCTGCCAAAGTGCGGCCGGGCAGAACAATGAGCTCCGCCGGGTGGGAGAGGGGCTGTGGCGGGTGGTGAGGGAAGGCTGTGGCTCCTAAAAAGGAGCCCAAGCACTTCCTTGTCCCGGTGCTAGACTGGGAAAGTGGGAAGAGCTCAAAGGGTCTCTGTGTTAACAGTTACCTGAGTTAAACGCAGTGTATGAGCAGTGGGGTGTGGATGAGAGGTGGTGACTGCCTGGCTCCTGACTGGTAAGGGTAGCACAAGGCAAGTGCTTAAATCACTTTGAAATTGCTTAAAGGTGTAATTTTTTTCTTTTTTTTTTATGCATTGCTTGATGGATCATCCTCTTTCACCTGCACCATGTGCCTGCCTTATGTTGTCCTGGCATGAAAGAAGTTCACCCCAGGCACCTCTGCTCTGCTGCAACCAGACAGAAGCCAAGGGATGGCACGAGCTGGGGGGTCACAGTGCTTGTTTTAAGAACTTTGGTGCAACAACGTGCAGCCACAGGGATGTGGGAAGGAGTGGAGAGGGCTGGGTGGTTTTGGCAGGGCACTGCCAGCAGCACCATCTGCTTGGCACAGGTTTTGGGGGTGGGACTGGCCTTGTGGGGCCAGACCTTGTCCTGGGCACATCCCCATGGCCATGCTGGTGGCTGACACAGCCCGGGCCACCTCCCACCAGCTGTGCCCACATGCTGAGTCATTTGCATGACAAATTCAAATATTTTTTATAGGAAACGGTCACACCAGAGCTGTCAGGGTGAGCTTTGGCTTGCATGGGCAGCCCCTCTGCTGTCATGAGGAAATATCACCATAAATACTGGGGCTGGGGTCCTGGTCACCATCTGGACCAGCCCAGCCACAGTCCGGCATCATCTCCCGGCATCCCCTCCCTTCTCACCCCACAGCAGCAAGCCCTGTATACCCAGACTGCCTGAGGAGCTTTGGCTGGTGCCAGACCCTCCCCACCTGCCCACTGTGGGAAGGGGATGGCTAGGGTGAGATTTCTGCCCTTCTCAGGCACTGCCTCTCCCTGGGGTGTCCCCTGTCACAGAGGCACAGCCGAGGGCTCTGCTGCCAACAGCTGCCTGAACCTGCTCATGATGAGGAGCAGGGGTTACCCAGCACTACCCCCGCTGCCCCATGTTATCTGGTGACACCTGGGGAGCCCCAAGGGCTCCCATCAAGTTCTAGAGCTTCGAAGTGGCACCCCCAACCAGTGGCCATCCCCAAGAGGGAGCACTGGGGGCACTGCAGGGCACAATGGGCACCCCCATGCACTCACTGCACCCCCATGGCCCAGCTCCCACAGCCCCAGTACCAAACCTTTACAGCTGAGAGGAAAAGGCTGAGCACAGGATTTATTTGCATAGTAACTGGGCTGCTGTTGGCACTTGCCCTTTAAAATAGAGTTCATAGCAAAATGTTTTTACCCCCTCGCATACAGGGAATGCTAACAGCATCCCTTTCTTTTTTTTCTCTCTCTTCTGGCTGAAACTTGTTTTTCCCTCCTTTGTGCCTCTCTGAATCCTGCCAGCATAGAGATTCCCTTGTTCAGAGAGTAAAAAAAGAAAGGGGGGGGGGGGGGGGAAGAAAAATAGAAAAAGAAAAACTTAAGCCTGGGATTAAAAACCATCACTAAAATAGTTTGAATAACAAAGTCAACTGACTCGCCGGGAGCCCGGTGAATGCCTGTCACGTATCTCCCGGGCAGGGTCATGTGTTTCACTAGATAGTTCCTGGAAAAGCTTCTGCTCAGCCCGATAGACCTGCGGCTGCTGATACAGCTGTGCCCGTGCCGGCCCCTCTCCTGGAGGGCTGCGGGAAACTTCCTGAAGGGGGGGATAAATTGGGGGAATAAAGAAATCTCCCTTGGGTACCAGAGGCATTGGGTCTTCTTGTGACCCGAATAACAAACAGCTGTAAATGGTGATCCCGGCTTCTCCAGCATCAGTTGTCCCAGCACCCACACCCGGGGGCAGCAGCCCCCTCCACCCTTACTGATGTCCTTAGCAAGGGAATTTATGCTGGGTTGTTGGGTTTTTTTACCTCCACAAATTTTTGCTTAGTTTTAGCTGCATAAATAATCAAAAAGTGGGACCTTGCATGAGGCAAAAGCAGAGGATTTGTAAATTTGCAAAGCCCCCTTGGCCTTGTCAGACACATTGTGTGGGACCATGCAAGCAGGAGTGTGTTACTGGGGGGATTTGTACCTAAAACCAGACCCAAATAACTTGTTTTATCCTTTTGCTGACTCCAGTAGTACAAACTTGGAAACACAGAGGTGTGACAGGGCACAGCAACAGGGACGATGGCTCAGATAAGGGCACACGGTGTGCGAGGGCAATTAAAGACTCAGATTTATTAGCTGTGTCTGTGCTCAGGAGGCTGATAGCGGTGATGAAGCTGTTGGAGATGGAAAGGTTAGTGATGGAAAGGTTAGAGATGGAGACACAGAGATGGAGAAGTCAGAGATTGTTGTCAGGAATTGAATCGATGAGACCCCAAAATCCCAGGAGCCACATAAAGCTGGAGACCATGGCCTTTTGTAAATCAGCCAGGAATATGTCTTGGTTTGAAAATAGCACTGAGCATCTTATTACATGTTTAACACTCAAAAGATCTTTTAAAATCAGACTCAGCTCACTTGAGTGGCTCCCATTCAATCTCTACCTCTGGATAAACACGGGGGGGTCAGCGACAGCCGTTTGCGGTCTCTGGTAGCATCAGCTGCTGTGTTTGCATGAGCTGCTGACATGTGAGCACGTTAAACAAAGCTTGAGCTGTGCAAAATGAAAGTGAAATGAAATAAATAGATCGTACCATTAGTTTTCCATCAGCTGGCTTTAAAATTAGCAGGTTTTAGACAAAAACACAGTAGAACAAGCCCTCAGGGGAAGAAAAACCATCCAAAACCCACATCCTACCTTATTTTCAACAGTGTACACTACTCTGTATTTCATGCCACTTTAGTAAGGTAAACCAATCTGGTTTCCTTTTTCAAGTGAATTTTATGTGTACAAAAACATTTATATTACATACATTATAAATCTGATTAGAAACACGTATCTATGAACAAACACATGTTTTTTATCAATAGCCGTGTGCATTCATATATATGTGTGTGTGAAAGAATACATATGAATGCCTTATTTCAACTGATATTTTAACTTTTATTTCACAAATCCCAGCTGCTGAAGATGCCAGGTGAATTGCAGATTGGAAGATAATTTAAATTGAGGAGCATAACATAACAGCAGTGCAACAAAATTTAATGGCTGGTAGCACGAGCTCGCCTGGGGCAAAACCATGTCCTGGACTGAGCTCAGGTTTCA